AACCGGCGACACGAGAAACCAAAACGAAATTGATACCACGCAGAACACGCGAACTCCATTTACAACCTTACGAACCGTGGATCGGACAGGCCGAGGGGGAGTGGGATGAAGGGAAGAGGGCAGAGGACGCGAAAGGAGCTGGGTATGAGAGAGGTGCAGAGGAAGGAAGGATGAAGGAGGAGGGAATGGAGGAGGAGGAGAAGGTGCGGGGTGAGGGAGAGTGAGGAGAAGGAAGGGGAAAGAGATGGAGAAGACGCGGAAGGATGGCGGATCGCGGGATGAGGTGAGAGATGGATGATAACGAGAGAAGGGATGGAGAGGGCGAATAAATGAAAAAAGGGAAAGAAAGGAGAGAATGGGAGAGTGGGGGAGGGAAGGATAGAAGGAAAAGGGTAAATGAAAGAAGAAAAGGGAGAGGAGAAGGAAAGAGTGAAAAGAAATGGGGAGAGTGGGGGAGGGAAGGGATTGAGAGAGGGGGGATAAATGAAGAAAAGGGAGAGGAGGGAAGGCGGGCGAATGATGGCACAAACCGCCCTAAACAAACCCTTTGACCCCCAACCCTCCCTGATCCGGAAACCCCTCCCCAATCGCCGCATTTCCTCCCCGATGGCTTCATCAGTTACAATATTCAGTCCTATTAAAGATGCAAATTGGGTTTACCTTATGACTAAAGGGAAGGGAATTTGATTATTTTAATGCGCTGAATCTAGTGTTTATTTCTACGATCTAATTTTTTTTAAGTGTTCGTATTTACCAGAATATTATAATAAAGAATTCGGAAACAGAAGCATTGAAAATAATCGATGGATACTGTGACAAGAGAGCTGACAAATTTGCCGGTAGATGGCTGCACGTGCGCCAAAATACGGATGTAAAGTATTTCTGATATATGTTGTTATTTATTAATCTGTGCTTTCTTTGAGTTTAAATAGTTTAATATTATAACTAACAGTTCACTTTGTTTTAAGAAAATGCGTGACTGATGATATTTTACTTATGCTACACTTTTCTTTTTCTTTTTCTAAGAAAACACGTACATGACAATTTTCTATGCTATTTTTTTAACAACTGACATGAAATTTTCTTGTACACCCTTTTTTTTCATATCTTGTCGCCTGCCTGTCTTGGTGGGGGCATATAGAAAGGATTCAAAGGGAAAGGCAGAGAGGAGAGCAGGGGTCCGGGTTGCGCTCTTTACATATGTACGAGTTGATTTATGTGCTGTTTTTCCGTTTGTCAAGGCAAGTATCAAACTGCGATGTAGTGTATAGTGATCATCGTATGTTTGCATGTATATGATATGTATATGCATATATATGGGTGTGGTGTGTCGGCACATATATAATATATAATACTTAATATATATATATATATATATATATATATATTATAATGTGTGTCTGTGTGTGTGTGTGTGTGTGTGTAGTGTGTGTTGTGTGTGTGGTGTGTGGTGAATGTGTGTGTGTGTTGTATTATACACACACACACCACACACATACATACTATATATACTATTATATATTATTATTATATATATATATATTATATACAATATATATATACACATATATACATATATATAATAATATAACAATATACTATAACATATATATACTATATATACACGTATAGATGTTCTGTATGATATATATATACATACCTACATATTTTGTATATATCACTATATATACATATATATTCGTTGTATATATGTATAAATATAATATATATATATTTATTACTATACATGCACAACACACACACACACACACACACACACACACACACACACACACACACACACACACACACACACACACACATATACACACACAACAAAACCACCAACCACCCAACACAACACACAATACATCATCAATATATCACATATATATAATAATATACATATATATATACTATACATATATATATATACATATATATTATAATATACATGCATATATATTATATATATATATATATACATAATACGTAACATATATACAATATATATCACATTAATATACTACATATAATACTATATATGTATATGTATGTATATAATATACATACCTACATATATGTATATTATACATATATACTACATATATATGTGTAATATATATAATAAATATATAATATACATAATATATGCATATACATACATACATATACATATATAGTATACAAAATGTGCACACACCACACACACCACACACCACACACACCACACACCACACACACACACACACACACACACACACATACACACACACACACACACACATACACACACATGCAACACATATATAAAAATACTATATAATATACATACAAATATATATATACTATATTATATATAATAAATTATATATATACGCACAACCATGAAAAAAGAAAGCTCTAAACTACGAAACGACTGTAAAAATGTAATACACTAGTACAAATTTGAGCACTATTTACCTCCCATAAATCCCGCAACCAACAATCTAGTCTACCGAGAGCGAGCAGAAAGCGCGGCACAGAGACAACGCAGGAGAAACGCTTAGATATACAAAACATAAACAACGGCCGCGGATAGAGCGTATTCAATTTTCTCCTACAGGAATTTATTGCCAAGTTTCTCCAACGAGCGTGGATATTTACAGCGGATAATTTTCATGGCGCGTGGCTCGATAGATATTTCCCTCCCACGGCTGCGCAAATTACAGCGTCTGAAAGAAATCTTACAGAGCTGTCATTTTTAGGGAGAAATATCGGGAGTTACTTTGCGGTGTTTAGTGGTGGTGGGTTGGGAGGAGGGGGGAGGGGGAGGGGTAAGAGGAGAGAAGTGGGAGAGGAGCGAAGGAGGGGAATGAGGGAGAGAGAAGAGGAGCGAAAGGGGGTGAATGAGGAAGGGAGGGAGAAGGAGCGAAGGAGGGGGGATGAGAAGGAGAGGAGGAAGGAGGGGAAGGAAGGGGGGAAGAGGGGCTGAGAGAGGAGAGATGGAGGGAGGAGGGGAGAGGGGAGGGGAGGAAGGAAGGAGGCGATGAGGAATGAGGAGGAGCGAGGGAAGGAGGGCGGAGATGAGGGGAGGAGGGAGAGGAGGGAAGGAGGGTGGGTTGAGGGAGAGAGAGAGGAGGGAAGAGGGGGGATGAGGAAAGACGGAGTGAGGAAGGAGGCGGATGGAGGGAGGCTGGAGGAGGGAACAGGTGAGGGGAAAGTGTGGGAGGAAGAGAGGGAAGGGGAGCATATAAAATTAAGAAAAAGGAAGAGGCACGGAGTAGGGTAAATGATGCGAAAATAGAGGTAATAGGAAAAAGAGGAGCGGGATAGGAGCAGGGGAGATGGATGAAGGGAAGGAAAGAGTAGGGAGGAGGATGGGGGGAAGTGGGAAGAAGAAGAGGAGAGGAGGTGGGGAGTGGGTGAGGGGAAAGGATAGAGGCTAGACATTTGTTGCACTGGGAAGGTGGGCGAGGAAAGAAAGGGGCATGGAACAAGAGAGAGAGGAGAGGAAGATGAGCAGCAGGACAAGGGGCGGTCTATGAGAGCAGAAAGGAAGAAGAGAGGAATGAATCTATTTTTTAAACAAGAGGACGAAATAGGACTACAGGCAAAATAAGCACATTTGTGGTTCTAATATAAAACAAACACTTTTCCTGATTGATTTTCGAAATTTTATAACATAGTCATCACTGCCCGAATTCCTGCTTCATTTCATATCATTCGTGTTCTAATTTTTCATTCATTGTTTTACATGTAAAGTATTCCCATAGCTCATGATCATTTTTGTTGTGTGAAATATGTAAAGTATATCAAAGTTCATATGCTATCAAATCGGCATATTTTTTCTATCGCGATTTATTATTTATATAAGATATATTTACTATAGTGTTTGCTATGCTATCACCAATATACGACTTTAGAACATTTGTCGGGGATGGTGTGTGAGTTCGCGTTTAATGTCGAGTAGTTGTTTAATGTGTTAAACATAGATCCAAGCTTTAGCTCATGGTTTTAAACCACAAACAAACCAACACACACCACCACCAACACAACACACACCACACAACACCACACACACACAAACATCCAACCCACACACCACACAACACGACAACATATATTTATAATATATATAATCTATATATATATATTTTATGATATATAAATTTACGTTTTTGTCTCATCAAAGATTTTACTTTTTACTATTAATCATCGTTTCTTCTATCATTACCATCTTTTTAGCAATCAGTATGCCATTGGTATCAATTATATCTTATGTTACCGAGTCGCTTTTTCATGCCCACGGAATTATATTTTTAGCGTTTTGAATTAATAGTTATTGTTTGTTTATGTTTATTTTTCATGTTTCATGATTTAGATCTTGTCTCCCTTTGGCTTATGGTTGTCTAGCCTGCCTGTCTCGTCCTTTTCATTGCGGTTATGGTGTGGTATGTTGGACTGCTGCCTGTCTATTGCGCAATGTACATGTTTAGTTTTATTCGATTTATTGCTGTTTGTCACATCTATCGTTATAGGAAATATATTTTGTCTCATTTCCTTGTAGATATGTTGTTGTCTTTCCTTGTTCCACTATAGGAATTGTCTTTCGTGTCTTGTTATAATAGCTGATAAGAACAGTTGTCTTGGAAACACGACACGTGTGATTAAGTAGGATGTTATTGTATGAATTGAACCCTATGTTCATGTGATGTGTTTGTTGAGTTGTGTATTGATGTGTGTAAATGTGTGACAGGACAGAGAGAGAGAGAGAGAGAGAGAGAGAGAGAGAGAGAGAGAGAGAGAAGAAGAGAGAGAGAGAGAGAAAGGGGAGAGAGAGAGAGGAGAGAAGAGAGAGAGGAGGAGGAGGGAGAGAGAGAGGAGAAGAGAGAGAGAGAGAGAGAGAGAGAAGAGAGAGAGAGAGGAGAGGAGAGAGAGAGAGGAGAGAGGAGAGAGAGAGAGAGAGAGAGAGCCTTCTCTGTCCACCATATCTGCCGTACGCATTCCTTCACACTTACCTCCCCATGTGGCGTTAAAATGCGTGATTTCCGACACATACACGATATGTTGTTTATCTGTGTAGGCTATTCATCCGATCCTCATATATCATGGTATGTAGGCTATTGTGCACTGCAGGGATGTAGGATTTTGAAGACTTGTGCTAGATGTTTTTTTATGTGACTTAGAAGCTGTTTTTTTATAGAGAATGATTAGAAATTTAGTATAGCAAATGTTTAACCGAAATAGTTCCTTCCCACATTTATTTCAATCAATATGTGTAACCGAGTACTTCCACACATTAAATCATATTGTGTATGTAATGTGGATTGGAAAATAGGCAATATCACTGATGTATATAGATCTAACAATTCTACTGGTGTTTTGTGATGTGGTTTTAACATTTGTATAGAATATTTTGCTGGTATGTGTACCTCCACTACACATCACGCCATTGTGCTGGGTATTGTGCGGTACTGTGATATATTATTTCAAAGACACACAAGCTTTATTACTGTTGATTTTTACAGCCACACGAAAACTTTTGTGGGGATTAGCAGATAACTTTGTTGTGTTTGGTACACGGTTAAGGATTTTGCGGTGTGTCTGTTTGCGTGGCAGGTTTAAGATTCATTCCGAGAGATTTCATAAAAGGGAAGTAAACTAAGAAAGATCACAGGGTTGAGCAGCTTCCCCTGAGCTTCAAAAACTGTGCGGAATCTGCTAGTAGGCCAAGGTAAATTCCCCTCGTTATGGTGGACTGAGAACAAGGGAAGTCTTATCTCGAATTTCCCCCTCTGTAATGACTAAATGAAAATAATTCGTACAATAACATGAAGTATATCAAGCTGTGAGGTATTATTCTTGCCCCTTCCCCCCTCCCACCCTTCCCCCTTACCCCACTTCCTGCCACGTGGCCATAAAGCTTCACAGAATTTCAAGAATATCGCCGAGGAGGATTATAGAAAACTCGAGCCTTGTTTACGGGGAGACTATAATAACCCGCGCGAGCCCTTATTCCTCGCTACTAAAATTGACGCTCAGAAAAATGGTAGTAGCTCTAAAATACCGTGCTAATGGCATAAAAGAGGGTAATGGCATCATACCTAGATTGGACCAACACATGCTACTAACAAAGTCTGAAGGAGACACAGTCCCTTCGAAAATAAAAATAAACAAGGCGTCCCACCGGCCATGAGAAGTTGCCAGCTCTCGCCATCCCACGTTATTCGCACAAATCCTTCTCTTCTCTCTAATAACCAGTAAACCAAACTTCCTAAACCCTTCTGTGCCTTATCCGCGAACGATAAAACGACGTCTGATCAGCACGAGATTGTCGCTATCATGAAGGAGAGGAGAAAGGGAGATATTTCGCTTCAAAATCCGGGTGTTGGAAGCTGGTTGCCTCCTGTTTACCTGTGGATGGAAATATCCGAACCAACCTTAGGGAGGGAGACCTGAGAGAGGGGAAAGCGTGGGGTAAGGGAGGGGAGGAGGGGGGGAAGGAGGGAGGGTGGAGGACATGGGTAAGGGGGAGGAGGAGGAGGAGGGCGTGGGGAAGGAGGAGGAGATAGAGAAGAGGGGAAGGGAACGTAGAGAAAAAGGAAGGGAGGGTAGACCTCGGAGAGGGGAGAGTATGGTGGGGGAGGGAGGAGGCCGTGGGGAAGGGGGAAGAAGAACATTGAAGAGAAGGAGGAGGAGAAAAAATGAGAGGGGAGAAGGAGAAGAAGGGGGAAGAGGAAAAAGTGCGATGTGAGGGGAGGAGGACGTGGGAAGGAGAGGAGAGGAAGGAGGAAGATGTGAGGAAAAGAACGTAGAGAAAAGGAAGGGAGATGAGAGGAAGAAGGCATGAGGAGGGATGAGGAGAAGAAAAGAAAAGAGGGGAGGAAAAAGAGAAAAAAATGAACGTAAAGGAAGAAATGAGGGAGAAGGAAGATAAGATCATGGAGAAAGAAAGAGGGGGAGAATAAAGGAGATGAAGAAGAATAGGAAAGAGAGAGGGAAGAGGAAGAAGGTGATGGAGGAGACTGCTGCGAGGTATGCAGAGGAAGGACGAAAAGGAAGAGAAGAACGAATGAGGAACAGGAGGCAGAAAAAGACGGAAAAGAAGAGGGAGAAGAGAAGAGACTGATTGTAGAGGATAGCTGCGAGGGGAGTACGGACGTAAGTGGAATAGCACGAAAGGAGGACTTAGATAAATGGGGAGAAAATGCGAATACAGAGATAGACTCGAACAGAAATAGAGAGAAAAAAAAATATCCAAAAGACATCCGGAACGAACGAATACCATCGAAAAAAACATATATTGAAGCATATCATATTCGTAGTGGTTTCGTATTCTTTCGAAAGCAAGACTCGAAAGTGAGAATGGGTATCAGCCGAGTGTAAAATCGTGGCTGGGCATAAGAGCCTGGGTACAGGTGGGCGAGATACCACAGCTAACCAGGCCTGCTCGCATTCTTTCGCTTTTTTTGGTCTCTTTTCCTTTTTTCTCTTTCTCTTTTTTTATAGGGAAGGTATTTTTACTTTTTTCTCATTAATTAGTCACCGTGTCGAGAAGACTTTTTTTCAGTGTGAATATGTTTTTTTTTATTATTGTTATTATTATTATTGTAAGGAACATTGATAATTTGGTTAGGCTCGTCGTCGTCTTCCGTACGGCAGGGAAATTTTAAATGGCTTAAAATCAAATTTATGGAAATTTTTCATATGCGTGGGTTAAAGGAGTCTTTTTCATATATAATGTTTTGTTTATAGTACTTTATCTTATATTCTGATTTAAAAGAAGAAAAATAAGTAAATGAAGAAGTAAATAAATTGAGATAGAAAACGAGAAAAATCCGCGCGGGCTGTCGATCCAACCAATGCAACGTGAGGTCGAGTAGTGAAGTGACAGTGTTTTAGCCTGAGAAAACCACCTTAATTGCTCTGACTCCGGGATCACCCAGACGTGTTGCATGAACTGTTATAATTTCATTTGTGTAAAAGAAAATAATAATAAAAGATAAACTAATTAAATTCTTTTCTCCTTATTACGTGATTTTTTTCTTGTTTTTTCTCAATTGCCCCTAAATAAAACGAACAAACTGCATGAATACAAGGCTTACAAAATGGACGTACTCGAAAAAGGTTACGGACGTAAATGAGATGGATTCCTTCTTAGAATCAATTTTTATATATTTATTTGAATAGACTGATGTCATGCATTCGATCTCCATTATTCATTTATCGTCTCTTTGATCTCATTTCTTATATCTATCACTTTTAATCATTTCTATTTGTACTCTTCGCGAACTCAACACCTCAAACTCTTTACCAAGTTTGTTTAAATAGAATTCTGAAACGTGTAAGTATTAATATTTATTGTTCGAGGAAGAATTCCATCAATAATGATGAAGATGATGATGATGATGATAATGATGATATGATGAGATGCGATGGTGATAATGAGGATGATGATATGATGATAATGATGATAATGATAGTGATGATGGTGACGATGATAATGATGATGATGGTGGTGGTGTTGGTGGTAATGATCATGATCATTATGATAATAATAATGGTAATAATAATCAGAAGTAATAGTTGTTGTATTATTAGTATTTGTATTAGTATTAGAATTAGAAATATTATCATAATTTCAAAAATAATTGTAATGATAATGATAATAATAACAGAAAATTATATATATATATATATATATATATATATATATATATATATATATATATATATATATATATATATATACATATATATATAAATATATATTAATTTTGTATGTATATATATGTATCCACACACACACACACACACACACACATACACACACACACAACACACACACCACACACACAACACACACACACACACAACACACACACAACACACACACACACACACACACATATATATAATAATATATATAATATATATATATATATATATATATATATATATATATATATATATATATATATATATATATATATATATATATATATATATATATATATATATATATATATATATATATATATATATATATATGTATATTCATATACTTATGCATATATATATACATATGCATATATATATATATATATATTATATATATATATATATATATATATATATATATATATAATATGTTTATGTGTGTGTGTGTGTGTGTATGTATATATACATATATACACCTATCACAGCCACCTCATATCCGCCACCAGGCTACCACCTCATCACCTCTCATCCAACCATCACCATCTCATAAGCACCACCATTCGACCACTGCATTTCCATCACCTCATCACCATTCATCACTACCTCAAAACCTCATCACAATCACCTCATAATTCCCACAATATCATAACCTCATCACTTCCTTCTAACGCATCGCCTAATCACCTCATAATCACCATCATCTCATCACCCCAATACCTCATAATCACCACAAACTCATCACCTCCACCCCATCACTCTCATCACTTCCACCACATCACCACCATCTCATCACTTCCACCTCATCACCACCATCATCCTTCCACCACATCAACCACCATATCATCTTCTCATCACCACCCATCTCACTCATCTCATCACTTCATCATTCACCTCATCACCACCCTTCATCACTCTCACCTCATCACCCACATCTCATCACTTCCACCTCTTCACCACCATCTCATCACTTCCACCACATCACCACCGTCTCATCACCATCATTTCATCACCACCATCTCATCACTTCTACCTCATCACTTCCACTTCTTCACCACATCACCACCATCTCATCACTTCCACCTCATCACCATTTCGTCATCACTTCCACCTCATCACCGCATCACCACCATCTCATCACCATTTCGTCATCACATCTTCAACTCATCCCTTCTTTTCAACCAATTCATCACCCGAAGAGTCAATTTCTCCCTTTGTAAAACCACGCTGGAGTTTGACAAGTTGACACTCCCTTGATAATAATAAAATTGACTGGGCTGTCACGTGTGTTGATCGAATTGATTTTGG